AAAAAAAAAAAAAAAAAAGAAAGAAAGAAAGAGAAAGTCAGTACCAAATGACCAGAATTTTTTATTTGACTAAATCTATTCATGTATGAGCAATGACAGTCTCCCCTGTTTATTTGACTTTGGCAATAAAAAAACAAGCAGCCTTGTACAGAACAGTGAAAATGCCAAGGACGAGGGCAGTCTACAGTTTCACTGTAGAATAAATATATATATATCTATATATATTTTTAAAGGCCTCTCTCCCTTTGGCCGTATCAACTCTCAGTTCAGGCCATTAAATACAAATTTTCAAATTCACTTCTTCACTTCTCCAAGATCTTCGATGCTGTCATCATCTACCTATAAAACACAAATAATTATATCTTATGAGTTGTGGTTGCAAATAAGAAAAATGGAAGCAATTTGCTTTAAAATCTTATTTCTAGAGATGTATGTATTCCATGTACTCACCTCTGGCCATTTTTCCTGAATGACATCAATTATGTCATCTGTAAAATCTCCCTGAATGATAATTTCATCCTCCCCTGTTACTGAGGCACCACAGGAGAATTTCTGAGCAAAAAATCTTTGTGCTTCTTTAAGATCAATTTCTATTTTTTAAAAAAAAGAAAGAGCAAGAACTGTAATTGAAACTGTACAAAGATGTTTTTCCATTTTGAGATTTAATCTGCATTTTAAATTCATAAAAGATTGTTAATGGGTTTTATATTCCTTTCAGAACAATACAAACTACCATAGGCAGAGATCTTAACAATGGAATTTACAGTTTCAAAGTCAAGCAAAGGTTCAATACATAAAAACAGAATCATCTATACTATCCCTAACTCATATAAGACCAAAATAAATCCAGGGACACTGTTTTTTTTTTTTTTTTTTTTTTTTTTTTTAAGATAGAGTCTCGCTTTGTCACCCAGACTGGAGCGCAGTGGCTCGATCTTGGCTCACTGCAACCTCCATCCCCCGAATTCAAGCAATTCTCCTGACTAAGCCTCCCGAGCAGCTGGAATTATAGGCATGCATCACCACGTGTGGCTAATTTTTGCATTTTTAGTAGAGACAGGGTTTCACCATGTTGGCCAGGCTGGTCTCAAACTCCTGGCCTCAGGTGATGGGTCCACCTAAGCCTCCTCAAGTGTTGGGATTACAGGTGTGAGCCACCGTGCCCAGCACAGGGTCACATTAATTGCAAACATTACATATATATTTCCAAGTAGGTATCAAGTTCTTCTAAACTCCTTTTAAAAAAGAAAAATTTACAGAAGAGAAACAACCTTAATATTTATAAAGACGTCCACTGAATGTTTTTCTTTTTTTTTGAGAGACAGAGTCCCACTCTGTCACCCAGGCTGGGGTAGTGCAGTAGCACAATCTTGCTCACTGCAGTCTCCGCCTCTTGGGTTCAAGCAATTCTCCTGCCCCGGCCTACTGAGTAGCTGGGATTACAGATGCCTGCCACCATGCCCGGCATTTTTTTTTTTTTTTT